ATACATAAATGACACCCCCCCAAAAAAGCTATTAAAGACATTTTCATAGAAGTTAGGAGGAAGGGCTTCCAAAGAAATTTCTTATAGAAAGTATGATTTTCTGGTTTCCATGGGCATTAAAATGAGGCTTACAATGTGGTTCTTATGCATTGCTATTCAGACTTTACTCTCGAAATGACGCCTAAGTGTAATGCTGGAGAAATAAAGCCGGGTCCACACAATACACGCCAAAACTGGCATGGCCCCTGCTTTCTCGGAGCTCATAGAATTCAGGTGGAACCCAGAATTCAACAAACATAAATAAAGGCAAGTTGGGAAAGCACTATACAGTGAAGCAGAGCGCTAAGCAGTGCACAGACACTGCACAAGGCAGTTCCCATGGAACGGGTCCCAGGAAGAACGTGAGGACTGGACTGGGTTACTGCACACCGTGAACTAACATTTAAGCCTGACGTCAGATTAAAAACCAAAGTGTTTCTGTTTACACAAGGCCTACACAGCCATTTCCATAAAAAGAGACAAGGGATCCCATGCCTTGTTGCTTATAGCCTCTCCATTTTGACTTTAAATAGGAAAAAAAAATTAAAGGGTCCAAAAGTTTTAGAATTAAGTAATTTGTAACTCCTTTCATATCAAAAATAAAAATAATTATAAGAAAAAAAATCCATTCTTAAATATGTAATTTGTCTCAGAACCAACTCCACATTTCAGATTAATAATCAAAAATTACTAGATTTATGAGGAAATGAAATATAGAGAAGACGCCTTTCTTGTAGAGCTTCGAAGTTATTGAAATCTAACAAAGGTATTCGAGAGTAGGCCTAATCCTTAAACCCTGTCAATTTGCAGATGTACCGATCAATGCCTTTATCAGCACAGTCCTATTTGATTACTTGAAAAAGATAAAGAATGTGGAGGAGGTTAGAGCCTTGGACTTCACTACAGAAAACAAGATGTGGACTAGGAATTTTGTATAAAGATTTCAAGGCATCTACTGATTTTCAACATAGCAGTAATTTTCACTGCCTGTTAAATGAAGTACATATGCAATGTATTTCCATGCCTTAAATAATCAAATTAAGGCAAGAAATTGAAAAGCTTTTTCAAGGTCAGTGGCAAATCCAGATTTTGGACACAAATCTTTAAAATAGAGCCTATTCCTATAGAACATTCTAGGAAGTCACCTAACCCAGCTGCACATTAGAATTGCCTGGGGGATAAGAAAAGCAAAGGCACAACTCATAAGACTCTAACTTAACTAGTTAAGTGTGAGCTAGAAAAATAAGAGTACTTTTTTGTACTTTAGATGATATGCCCCAGGGAACTCCAAATGGAGGGGACAGGAGGAAACAAAAGCTCCCCCTCCACGCGAGTCACCTTGCCACACCGTGGGGACTCTTTCTAACTTTCTTGCCACACCGTGGGGACCTCTCTCTCTCTCTCTCTCTCTCTCTCTCTCTCACACACACACACACACACACACACACACACACACACACACACACCTTAGTATTCAGGAGATACTAATAATGAAACCATTGCTTTAGACTTGGCCACATCCCAGAAAGTGAAGACAAACAAGTCCTGATAATCAATGCAGAATTTCCATTTAAGGGGAAAACTTCTACCTTAATAACAATCATTTGTTGACATCATCTCCCCATTCACAGAGCTCTCAGCGAGATATATATAAAAAAAAAAGTTTGCCATCACCAGACATCCTATTCAAAGCAGCAAAACAAAGGCCAAAAGCAAAGGACCTCTGTTCTCTTTTATCCTCTGAAGTGATGCCCATTCGGGATATTAGCTATTGGCTATTTATCACTTTAAAGTTGGGCTATCTTGAGAAAAACTTTATTTCCGCTCATTTTCATTTCTGTCAGACTTTCCCTTATAAATTTTATTTTCTCTGCCAGTAAAAGTAGTATGAGGTTGTAATTTGGCAGGAGCATTTTAAGCCTGGGTGTGATTTCCGTACCCCAATTTGATTTAAATTAGTTTTGCCATATTCAGTGAGAACTTAAAAAAGGTCCTTTCAGCCGCTTTGGTTTGTCTATTGGGTCTTTTTCTATACAACTTCAAGTCTGAAAAGTCACCACGTTTATTTCTGATAATTTTATGTAGAAATGCATTAATGAATTCATATTATCCCATTACTATTTTTAATGAAAACAACTTAACTGATAATAAATAAATAAAAACCTGCCGGTTTTGTTTCTCGGCTAAGCTATCCACTTTTTTTGAAAGCCACATGTCTATCACTATTAGTGTTAAATCCTCCAGAGAAACACAATGGGCACTCACATGCACAAGCTTTAACCTGACGCATTTCTGAATCAATATACATTTCTCCAGGACAGCACTTTGCTACCTGTTGCTTACCACCAGCATTTCTCTACACCAAACAAAAGGCCTCTGGGACTGGCATAAGCAAGGTCACATGTAACAGTGCTCACCCTACAAGTCCACAGGATATTGTTATAATACAATAAAGCAGCTTTTGGAGTTCCCTGGGGCATATCATCTAAAGGTTTTGCGTCCTGTGTCTCTATAATGGAGGGGACAGGAGAAAACAAAAGCTCCCCCTCCACGCGAGTCACTCACCTTGCCACACCGTGGGGACTCATTTCAGCTGTGATCTGCTATTTAGACCTGAAGCCCAAGATACAGAGACGCTGTCTTTCTTTTGGTTTGCATTGCTGGTGTTGCAGACAGGGATTCAAAGAACCATTCGGCACCAGAGAGAGACTCATTCACTGGAAGACACACTCTGGTCTGCTCTATTCTCAAATTTCACAGAGAATTCATAATATGGGCACTTTTCATCTCCGGCCCCTATTTCCTCAATCAGGGCATTTCCAAAAGTCTGCTCTTTTATTTACCCCTGAGTGATCACACCGTTTATGGATGCTGCTGAGACCAGGCTAAGCAAGACTCACAACCATGAAGCAGAAATAAGAAAGAAAGCATCTACCCTCCACATCTACATTAGGAAGACTTTTTAAGAAAAGCGTACTCTTTTATACAACGGAGTTTTCCTGGACACGAATGTCTCAAAATGAACCTCCCAAGGCCCCGAAATTCAGCCATCACACGCCAGTCCATCCACCTCTGTACTCCACCCTCTGCCCCTTTCCACTTCTCACCTTATGTTTGCCAAGAAAATTCACTTCAGTTTCACCCGAGGGAAGTATTTCCCACACACCGAGGGAGGGTCTGTGTCCCTGCACATACACAGACGACTCACGCGGTCTGGATGATGCTTTCACAAGTTAAGGGGCCTCACGCTTACTCAGCAGAGGAAATCTTTGTGTCTGTGAGGAATCACGCCAATTCCTATTACTAAGAAAGGATACAGGGGCGAGGAAGCCTATTCTCTCATTGACCAGAAAAAGAGGCCCAGCAAAAACAGAGACCTCTGCCATGACCATCTGCAAAAAGGAAGGATGTTGTCAACTTTCTTCTCCCCAAAACTCTGACGACCTCTGCCTTGACCCTCAGAAAACAGATACACAGGAACAGGCTCTTCTGCAGGAATTGAGAGCTTTACACCAGAGACTCGGCACTGAGAGAGGCTTGTCGCCTGGCTATCTACCCCGAACATTTGCACTCACATTCCAAAGATGTTTCCGTTGCGTTGGAAGGACTGTAAATTTCTTTCCTGCAGAATTCTTTCCAAACAAACTCCCATGGACTGTCCTCTGCAGCCGTGCAGCGGAGCTCCCTAACCAGGCACCATTCACCTCCTCTTGCAAGTCTTTCAGATGCTGAATATGACTGCATTGGTGGCTGGGCCAAAGGAGCAAACTTTAAAAATGCAAATGCGTCCAGGGAAAACCAAGCCACCCGAATCCCACCTTTAATGACAGGCAACTGATCTGAAAAGCAAACCTCCTTCAGGGCTCTATTTCATCACTAAAGCTGTTTGCTTACATTTTCAGGATATATTAAACAGTTGTTTTAAATTTTTTAAATAGATTTTTTTCCCATTTCATTAAAGGAAATGGGAGGGGGGGAGGGTTCAAGAGAACAAGCATTCCCTTTCCAGCACAAAAAGAACATACGTTGTTTGGGTGAATAATAAAACAGTAGAAAGCTTTGAATATTAAAGAGGATTATTAAATTCTATCAAGAGTTTTCCACAGAAACCAATGCACTTATAAAAAGAAAGCTTACATCTTAAAAAAAAGGTTTTAAACATATGATTAATACTGATACTGAAATTAAAAAGAAAGCATCTATAAAATCTCAATTGTCTTGAAACAAAGCTTACACTTTGGGCTACTGATAGTATTTTTAGAACGGGGCTTTCTCTGGAGAGTTAAAGGTATGCAAATGCAGGGTGCACAGAGACAAACACACACATGCTATACCTTTGTATTACACTGGCATTTTATTATTTAATTAAAGTACTCTTATTTTTTCTAGCTCACGCATGCTTCCCTTGAGACGGCTTTGCTGTTAGCCTGCTGGCCTTGACTTCCAGCCAAAAACAATTCAGAAACAAAAAGGGACAACAAATCATATTTTCACAGACATTTTTATCCCTCAATACAACCCTGTTTTCACACAACATCATACAGCCCCTAAGAAAACTATAATTTAGGGCAGTAGCCACCAAACCCAGGGTTTGACACATGGCTGCACGAAGTATTTCTAGTGTAAGAAATTCTTAAGTTCTTAATTGCAAATAAACTCTTTTGATGGAACCACTTTCACCGACATCGCAGGTTTGCAAACAGTGCCACTGGTACCGGTTGAGGGATTAAAAACTAAAAGCGAGCCAGCAAATGTAGTTCTGATATGCCAGAGATCTAAAGATGAGGTGCCTATTACCTACAAGCTCTGTGCTGTTTCATTACTTTTTAAACGGAAGAGGCATCGGCAGGCTCTCAGTGCATCTTCGTGTCACAGTCCAAAATGCATCATCTAATTTATAAAATAAACCGAATTACCAGGCTAATTCTCCCAACCCTTTCCCATGCGAGATCCTCACTTACCTGGTGGCAACCCTGTAAGTTTGATTCTCTCCCATAAGATGAATATGAGCCCCTTTCTGTTTTACCTGCCAAGAGAAACAAAAAAAAAGTGTAAATATGAAAGTTTGTTGAATTAGTTTATTCTTCATGGAATTAAATTGCTCCTACTGTATTTGCAGAGAAAGACTGGCTATTTTGGCTCATGTAGAATGTCACTGCTTTCCTGTGCCAGGTTTTAAAAAAAACTTTTTTTTAAAAAAAAAAAAAAAAAAAAAAAAAGCTTCCAGGTAATAGACATCTACTTCTCTTCCCCGATGTTTACATACGTAAAGTAGGCACTACTGGCAATGTATGCAAGCAAGAGCGGGAATAACACTTCCTCACTCTGGCTATGATAAACTGGAAAAAAATATCCTTCATTCCTATTCTTAGCCAAACTGCTCCACACTTCCAAAAACTGTCATTCCAATGGCCTCCACTTTCTCTAACAAACAAATTGTCATTTCTTATTTTCACTTGCGTTCTCTCTCACAAATTTAAACAATTTCATTTTTATTTACACAGCAGGCAAATTATCTATGTAATGACCCTAGTCTAGGAATTCCCATTGATTATATTGACACTTAATGGTGAGGCCAAAACTAATCAATCAAGGCTTTCCAGATGGTGAATACAGCAAAAGAAACTACTCAAAATTCTGAGACATTCTCTCTCTTTTTTTAACTCCCTTTCCCAGGAGTAAATTCCATCGTGATCACAATGATGATGGAATTTACATTTGGAAAAGAGGGCTTTGAAAAACTGCCGACTCTGATCCCAAGTTCAGATTCTACCAGCAGACTCCTCAGGACATGGGATAACAGAATGTGAATATCTTGTTCCAATTCTAACAACCTAACTTTATATACAGAGATGTATGCAGCCTCAGAAGCTGTTTGGCCACATCTAAGGATGTCATCAAGGCTGCTCATTGGTTTCTTTTTAAAGTATGGTTACCCTTAATAATCAGCAAGGTAGACAATGAAACCACATTACAAGAGATCTAAGCAGTAGAGTTCAGTGAGTGACATATGAAGAGTTATCACTGAAAACGGACCCAGACCACACATTAAAAAGGTCTAAGGACAGCCAAGTACCCAGAATGCAAACCCCACGCTGCCTGAGACTGAAGGATGCTTCTTTTGTGGAAAACGGAATGTTAAGGAACACTATACTTCACTCCTAGGATTATACGATTCTTTCTTTTGGTGAGAAAATTCAAAATTAGTATTTTTGAGAGACCGAATGGTAATCACCTCAATTTCCCCTCAACCCAAGTTATGGCAAATATGAAAAGGAACAGTGGTCATTTTTTATGTTTTAGTTTGGTGACAATGTTATCAGTGCATTCCTTCGTGATACTACACAAAGAATGTACCTTTAATAAATCTTCTATCTGACCAAAAGTACACCTTGTATTATATATATAATAGAAGATGACTTTTCAAAGAAAGCCAAACCTGAGTCTTAAAATTAACCCTCTCTCCCCCCCAGCATTAACTTTTCTACTGATTCAATAACTCTGAAACTTGGAAAACATTCCCCCACCCACTTCTGGTATGTTGTTCAGTGCAAAGTAGAAAATCAATGTCCATATCAGTTTCAATTCCTGTGGAACAGGATATCATCTCACAGACATACTGTCACTGTTGGGACATCTAAGAGAATAACTTTAATTGTATGGGATTTTACACTGAAGAAAAAACTCATTTACCTGTTCAGCAGTGCAAATGCCCATGCATACATATCTACTCTTCTGTGTAGGTCAAATATAATCTATAGATGCCCCTTAGCTTCTCTCTACAAATATTACTAACAGAAAAGACTCGACATTTATAAGCTATCGAATGGCATATGTCCTTCCTTAAGCTCTTGCACTTTAAAAGCTTCCATACAACCACAGCATAATTCTCTTTGACATAATATTCACTTGTTTAACAACTAGAAAGGCAAGTAGAGATGTAAGCAAGCAGGCAGACAGAAAGATAGATGATAGATAAATGAATAGATGAGGTAGAATTTGCTCTGACTGCCTAGGAAATTGGACATCTAGTAAGCTGTTTTGGTAATTTCTAAAAACTGAGTTTTAAAATACAATTTAAAGTAAGAAAGACTATCTATTTTTCTCTCTAGAAAGAATTACTGAATTTATCCCCTATAGAATTTCACCACCTGGCATTCTTTCCCAACTTGAGTCCAGCACATGGACCTCAGAGATTAATTGTCTTAAGAGGATTTGTCTCAATTCATGTATATATATATATAAGTTAGAGCTATCCCTTCCCTTATTTTGAAGCTAGAAGGTCAGTGTAAATAGTACAGATGAGGGGAGGGAGGAGGGAAAAAAAGAAAATGAGAATAAATGAGAGAGGAGAGAAGAAAGGAGATAAAGAGAGGGAGAGTGGAATGGAAAAGCAAGGGGGTAGGAAGGGAGAGAAGGAGGCAGGGATGAGAAGAATATGAATTCATGCTGCACCGAGTCCCCAAAGTACTCCAGGCTACAAGGCCCAGCACTCTTTACTATCATATCAGATACAGACCGCTTAATCTTAATTTTGCTTGTTAAAAAATATTTATCCAGATACAAAAATAAACCCACTGCAAATTACAAGTTGTCAGGGTTAAAAATCTACTCGTGTTTGTGTGGGGGAGGATAAGAGACCAGCATAGACATGAATCATTCTCAGTAATTTGAGTGTTTCCATGACATCAATGGGCACCAGTCCAGGACTCTGTCGAAGTCTGCGAGGTACCAAAGAGGCAGTGCAGCCAGCAGGAGGCTGGGAGGTGCATTCCTTTTTCTTTCTTTCTTTTTTTTTTTTTTTTTTTTTAGGATTATGCTCCTTGTAAAGATTTCATCTGTAGCATCCATTTTTACCATCAAATAGATCGCTCCAGAGATCATGAACGAACACATTTCATTCTAATAGTGTAAGCCTTTAACTTTATTACATCTTTTTGTTCCCAAATTCAACTATAAATCTGCCCTCGGAGCCCAAACCCCCATTTGGGAGCAAAATAATCGGAGACTGAGGATAAACCCAAGGGCTTTCTCAGACGTATTATATCTATTCCGATCACTTCCTAATGACAGGAAGGAGCCATTTTACAATGACACCTCAGTTTCCAGGCAAATAAATACATCTTTTGTGTAAATTGTCCACGAAAAATTAGCTATGGTCTTGATGTTGATTTTCTGCTAAAAATTCACTGGAACGTTTGTTGCAGATAATAAAATTTTCAAGAGTGCTGATAACATGTTTGAGTACGATTCTTAAGTAACTCTCTGTGCTCATGCACACAAAAGCTCCTAAATATCTGTGCTTACTCGATGTCAGGCATGGGTTTTTGTCACTTAGACCCACTGGCTGGCGCAGACAGCTCTTTCCTCCTTTCTCCATTCTTCGCCACCCACCCACCCCCAGCCCCACAACCACAGCCGAGCTTTGAGAGCTAGAGATTCTATTTTTTCAATATTTAAAAGAGATAGCAGTGATGAACCAGCGGCGTGCTCACTGCGGAATTTTTGAGACAACCCTCCAGTACTAGAATGCGACAGCCGCTGCGGATAGTTTTTGGCACAGAGACAACGGTGGCAGTGCCAAGCCCCATGGCTAAAACTACTCAAAAGAGGCATAAGGGTAGCATTAATCGCTCAAGTCTTTTACTGCATGGAGTACTGTTGTCCATGTTTTAAAAACTAAAGGTACCCGTTAGTAACATTTGTCGTATGCCCAGAAAGGGTGGGGTGTGTGTACGGGGGGTAGGGGTGGTTCTGAAATATGTACCGGAAACAAACCTTGTCGGGCATTCGATTCATTCTTCTACCTGAGAGGACTGACCGTGAAACTCTGCGGCTGGTGACGACTTGCCGCGGATGAAACAAACGGTGTGGCCCGATGGAGCACACTGGGGGCTGAATGAAAGCTCCAGAGAGGATTGCATAAACCGAGCCGACATATTGGCTAAACACGTTTCTTCCCCAGAAATGATGTATACAAGGAACATGCGATACTATGTCACAATTTTTAAAGTTAAGCAAGAAAAACGCTGTTAAGTGAGCAGACACATCAGTCAATCAATCCTTTCCAGAGACAAAGGAGACCAACACGCAGCCCCCTCTCCAGAACAGTCGGCATCTACAGTGAGCAAACAGCCTAGAAAGTCAACACGTGTTTTGTCCAAAATGAACCCATCAGCTGCTAAAACCTACATTTAAACTTGATAATTACAAATGGCACCAACTAACAATCAATAAAAGATTCACTTGTTTCTTCTGTTCCCCTTGAAAATCTAATCTAAGTAGAAAATACTGCATAAGTGATGTCCAATTTTTTAAAGACCAATATATGTTCTGATCTATTCAACAATTCCCAGGGAGGATAAGGAAAAAAGTGGTTTTTATTTGGGGCACTATGGTTAACAAATGCTAATATAATTCCAAATGTAATACTTTCATATCCTTATATAATTTTCCATTTGACTTCCAATTTTTCTTCCAATATATCCATATACATAGCATTCTGTTGTACAACAATGCCATACATCTAGGAAGTATCCCTGTGAATGAATGCACTTACGAGACCATTTTGATAGATTCCTACATCTGGAAAGTTCTAATCTACATGGTAAAAGTGAGAAATATCAAGAACAACGTACTGATGATTTCTGGAGATACGCTGTGACATGGGAGAACCCACCGGTGGTTGACCAGTAGGACAATAACAGGTCATGTTCAGGTTTCTAGCCATTCATTCTTAAAAGGCCGCTTTTAAAATTATATGTAAATGGTAGGCATTTCACCTACTACTGAAAAAAAATGTACCTCTACAGTGAAACCTGTCCCATGAAAAGCCTTGCTAACAATTATCTGATGCTGCAGGACAATGCCAGGCAAGGCTGCTTCCCTGTTAATCCTCATTCTGGGAACTGAAGAATGAGCCTTTTGTTCCCAGCCACCAGACTAGGAAACTCATCATCACCATGTTCCAGTCAGAATAAATCTGTGCCCCTGTCCCCAACCCCAACCTATTCCTGGTTACCCTAT